AAGGGAGAAAGCCTCTGAAAAGAAAGCAACTTAATTTTGCCAGAATTGGGTCACTAATAAAGGAAAACTATGTCCTGGCTCCAGTTTCCAAGATACAGCTTCAGATCAAAATAGCATCAAAATAATTCAAAATTATGAGGTGGATGTGTGATTATGCTCCATAACTTTTCTGCAAAGTGGGATATAGCAATGAGAATCGTGCCACACCAATCATTATAAATTTATCTTTTAAATTGATTCCAGTCACATAACTTTCCACTCATTTATGGTTTTTTCATGTAATATTTTCATTCTTTTTGCATGAAAAATTGACAAGCTCTAATATCAGATTAAATGGCATGGTTCTATCTGCACTTTTTGGCTTTGCTCTTGTGAACTTCAGTAGGAGATTCCAGGGGAGATTCCACCAGTAATTGGCAAACATGGACAGACTCTTATTTCCCTTGGTCTCTTTTCTTCTTGCCTGCGATATCCTGGTGGAATATCTCCCCATGCTCATCACTCATTTCCCCACAGTTCAAAGGGTAAATGTTCAAATAGTCTAAATGTGTAAGAAGTGGATTTTCACTGACATATTTGCACTAAGTACTTAACAAATTTTCCACCTGTTTTTCATAGTCACCTGTCTTGCTCTTCTTATACACTTCCATGTGGTACCATTTTCATTGTTATACCATACTTCATCGAGAAGTTACAGGGCATCATGATCATTAAACACCTTCCTCCCTTGTAGGGCAATATACTCACCGGTATATAAATCTTTATTGTGAAATATCTTGAAAACTTTAGTCAACCAGCACCTTTATCACCTGTTTTCTAATTCATCTAATCAAAATATGTAAAATAAACATATTTTATCTCGGAGGTTGATAATTCCCCAAAATTTGTAGACCAGTGTATTGGTCCCTAAAATTTATACAGCAGATCCAGAAATCATATACCCTATTCCTGCATGGTTTTAAATTTGGCTGAAAAATTATAATTGGATCATCTCAAAAGTTGTTGATGAATAAAATCAACAATTTTTGTATTTACTTAACCACATAGAGGGTGGTAGACTTGTTGGGCATCAAATTTAGTTAAATCCCTGGGGATGCAACAGATTTGGTAGTCTGAGCACTGCCTAGGAAGGTAGGCAGTGTAAATGCTTAAGAAATGGTGTGCACTCATTTGCACTACTCAGATGACCCTGATGACACAGATAAATCTCCAAGTGGCCTTAAAGACTTGCTAAAATAATTCAAAGGACCAGCTGCCTACAAGGAATATACATTCTTCCATTCCTCACCATCCAGTCAGAGCTGAAGTAGATGCTAGGATGAAAAGCAAAATGTCTTCAAAGAAAAACCAGAAAGTCCAATTGTCTTTTGAAAAAGTATCTTTGGGACAACCATGATTTGGATGACTGAGAATCTCTCTATATATAGACAGACAGATAGAAGATAGATAAATGATAAATAGATGATACACAGACCAATAGACAGATGATAATGAAGAATCAGATGGAAAGGAGGAAGAGGTTCTTGAATTTCTCATGGTTATGGTTGGATGGGTTGATGAGATCTCAAAATGACAGAGGTGATGTTTAAAGAAAGAAGCTTGGATGTGATACGTGTAGAATGTCAGCTTTTCTTTGTCTACCTCTGTGAAATAAAGAAATGCCTCCCTTTGCCATTAGTCTCTTTGAATCATAGAGTTGCTAAAGTGTTATTTGAAAAGTACACCCCATTGGGCACTTCAGATACCATATAATTGTAAAGCTGAGTTGTATCTTGGGCACTGTGAGGGAGTCAAGTTGAGGTTACTGTCTACAATTTGGAATAGCAGCTGCAGCCAGGCAGAAACACTTCCCACTCCAGCTTCCCTCTTTCATACATACATCCACTCACGTCACTCACAAACATCCAAACTGGCATTCCAGCTGCCTGAGCTCCACTCTGGTGTTTTCAAGGCTATGCAGACCTCCAGAGACAGCCTCATCCCACCCAGCCCTTAGCTTACAAATGCAATTATAAGGCAGTCGGAACAGGTGTAGGAAAAAAGTGATAAAAGGAGACAGTGCTTGGAGAATGGCAGCTATCGCTAACAAACAAGAGGACTATCATTCAGCCGCCAGCACCACAAATTAAGGTGAGCAACATATCCTGTTGGGAATCCTGCCTGGAGCTTGGCAGCAAGTAGAAAAGGAACAATTATGCTGAAGCAGCACATCATCTGAACTAGTGCAGCAGCTTTTGGAAGAAGACAAAGGTTGTATGCTACTTTATAGACTTTGAATCTTTTGTTTGAACTGAGCATTAAAAGACAAAGCATAAAGGACTGAGTATTAAAAGACACATTTACATGGCAAAATTGCCTTGCAAAGCCTAGAAAGGTGGATTTGACCCAGAGCAAATAGCCTGTTGCTGGAGAAACCAAAGATGTTTTTTCAAGAGGCAACTGGACTTTCTATGTTTTCTCTGAAGACATTTTACTTCTCATCCAAGAACCTCCTTCAGCTCTGAAGAAAAAGTTGAAGAAGCTTCTTGGATGAGAAGTGAAATGTCTTCAAAGAAAAACCAGAAAGTCCAGTTGCCTCTTGAAAAAACACCTTTGAGACAACTATGACCTGGATGACTGAGATACTCCATAGATATTTTGTTGAGGAAGGTGTGTGTCACAATAAATTATTGTGGATAAATTTTTTTAATGCTGCAATGTGTCCACTCCTTGGAAAGCCAAAAAACCTCACAGGAACCAAGGACAATGAACAAAAGGATGCCTAGAGTATTTTCAAAGAGTCTTTCTAGGAGCTAGTCTCACCAATATGCAGCGACTCCACAGTAACCGGTTTTGATTACATAACGGATTGCAGAATAGTTCCTATAATCCCAAATATTTAGGACTGTATTTAATACCCTTTGTCCTCGTGTGAAATATGTTGATTAATAGGAGGTAGTGATGATAGTTGATGGAAACAAGAGTTGTGCTGGAAACCTTAGGAAACCTTTGGGAAGGAGAAAAATTAGATCTTGTAGATTGCACTTGTCAATTCCAGACCTACACATTTTATAATAATTTGGAGTGAGGGAGGGGGATGAGGCAAAAGCTACTCTGTCTGTAGAGGCTGCCCCATGCTTACAGCTCAGGTTTAGCATTCATGAAGGTTAATTTCAAATTGACTGGCCTCATTTTATTAAATTAATTTGATAAAATTATTATCTAGACTGCAGGCTTTAGATACTATGAGTTGTTGAGAGAAAGATGGATAAACAGACTCTAGTTGATGCTTATGATAATTGTATTTAACCTTTTGCTATTTACTGCAATCCTTTCAATATAAAATTTCTGCTCAACTTAATGTACTTTCCTCTTTCATCAATAAATCTCTTCCTATCAAGGCTTCTTAAAGTTTTGGCCAAATTAAAAATAAAGCATCACTACTGGGGAGGAGGAAAAGAAGAACAAATGAAAACAAATGAAAATGAAATTATCCTTTTAGTACTCAGAATATGTATTTAATTAAAATAAGATAAATGATAATGACCTGCCGAGAAAAGGATAAGGTACAATTTTATTCGCATCCACAATGAAGGCAGCTTTTCTAGGATATTTGGGGAGTTAAATTGGGCACTGTCTGCAAAGCACCAGGACAGAATAGACAGAGCTCTAAGTTTTAAATAACTCAAGTGCTGTAGTAGGGCAGGCTACTTGAACTGCATAGGGACAGCGGCTATGATTCATTCATTTCTTATAACTGCACCTTGAGCTTCCTTTCTATTCCTGGCATTTGTAAAACCACCTTGTGGGAGGACCAAAGGTGCTTTTTCCAGAGGCAACCGGACTTCCTTGTTGTTGTTTTTTTGCCTTTTTAATGTTTCACTTCTCACCCAAGCAGCATCTTCAGCTCTGACTGGATGGTGGGGAATGGAAAGATTTGTGTTCCTTGCAGACAGCCGGTCATATGCATTGCTTTTTGGTATTTGTTGAGGCCACTTGGTGGTTTGTCTGTCTCCTCAGGGTCACCTGAGCAGTACAAATGTGTGTGGAGCCTTCTTGGAAGAAGACTCCACATCTGCCAAGAAGGCTCCACATCCATTTGCGGTATTCAGGTGACCCTGAGGACAGAGAAAAACTGTCAAGTGGCCTCAATGACTCTCTATAAAGAATGCATATGACCAGCTGTCTGCAAGGAATACAGATCTTTCCATTCCCCGCCATCCAGTCAGAGCTGAAGAAGCTGCTTGGATGAGAAGTGAAACATCTTAAATGTTTGGGTTAGTTGCAGCTCTAACTAAGCTGCCCCCACTTATCTATAGATAATTCAGTATTTGATTTGGCCTATCTGATTTGGCCTATCTGTTCCATTTCATATGTGTAATCAGAGTTGATTTTGTGGGTTACTTAATTCTGAAGATCTGCAAGAAAAAGTCATTTGGCAAAGAAATCCTTCCATTCCCCACCATCCAGTCAGAGCTGAAGAAGCTGCTTGAATGAGAAGAGAAACATCTTCAAAGAAAAAACAAATCCAGTGTCCTCTGGAAAAAGCACCTTTGGGACAACCACGACCTGGGTGAACGAGAACCTACACAGACGCTTGTGGGAGGCCATTGGCGAGACGGGGCCGAGGGCGTGCAACACGCGAGGGCAACCAGCCGTACTTTGCACCGTCCAGGAGCCCAAGGGAAGGCGGCGCCAAGCAGTTGCAATAGCCGAGAGAAACTTGCTCACTTGCTTCCCTGACAGGTCTGCGGCTTGCCGGGATGGCGCTTCTCCTTTTTTGTTTTTTGTTGTTTTAATCGGCTGAATTTGGCGAGAAATTTCCAGGTTTCGTTGAAACAGAAACAAAAAAAAAAAAAAGGAGAGGCGAAGGGAGGAGAGGCGACGTTACCTCAAAACAAACAGAGGAAAGGCTCCGTGTCACCGTGTGGGAGCGAGGGAGGGAGAGCGGGGCGGGCGGGCCCTCCTTTACGCACATTCCAGACTCCTCCTTTCTCCCCGTTGCGCACGCCGCCCGAGAGCAGCGTGGGGCAGCCGAGCAATCGACCCATATGGGTCAGGCCGAGGGGTGGTGAAGCAACTCGGGCACTTTCCCAGGGATGAGTCACAGGACGGCGGGATCGGCCTGACGGGGCGCAGGCCGGCCATGCAGCGGCGGCCCGAGCCCTCTTCAGTCGCGTGCTTCCCGGCGCCGAGGTGCCAGGAGGAACAGTCGCCGAAGCGCTCCGCTGCCCCGGACTCTCCGCCCGGGCGGCCCGGCCCCCTGCGCCCTTCGCGGTGCCGGCATCGCTCGCGCCTTCTTCGCCTTCCCAATGGAGCCCAGTGAAGCCCAGGACGGGAGCGGCGGGAGCAGCCCGGAGCTGGGCCGGAGGAGGCAGCTGAGCGTGGGAGAGCTGTGCTCGCTCTTCGAGGCTCGCTGCGCGATGGCCAGCCGGCAGCTGCCGGAGCCTGCCCGGAAGAGCTGCCGGCCCCGCAACGGGGTGCTGCAGGCGGTTATCCCGCAGCTGACCGTAACTTCGGAGGAGGACGGCGGAGAGGCGCAGCGCAGCCCTGCATTGCTGCCTCCGACGGAGCCCAACGGTGCCTGGCTGACCACGGACAGCTCGCTGCACCTGCTGCAGTCCTCCAGGCGGCTCTCGACGTCGTCGCTCTCCTCCACGGGCTCGTCGTCGCTCTTCGAGGACTCCGAGGATGACCTGCTGAGCGACACGGAAGGCAGGAGCCAAGGGATCGTTCACTTGGAGCACGGCGAGGAGACTCACCAGGTACCCGACGGCCAGCCAGGGAAGAGCCGGGAGAGACCCGCTGCCGGGAGCGGGGCTTCTTGCCTTAAGAGGCTCTGCCTGGCTTGCCAGCAATGGCTTTTTGGAAGCCCTTGTGGAAGAGTTAGTCGAGTTGATTCGGGATTGTTGAAATACAAACCTGGTTTAATCGAGGTTTGGCCGAGCGTTTGTCCTTCCTTTGGCTTTTGTAAACTGGGAGCGGGCAATTCCCTTATCCCAAAGGAAGGCCTTTCCCCGAGCAATTTGAGGGGAAGGGGTGTGTGTGTGGGGGGGAGGTCTCCCTTTCGGAGAAGCTGCGCCTATGGTTGCAGTTGAAATCAACAAATAGGCGTTTTGAAAGAAATGCCACGTAGATTCTAAGTAGGAGAAAGATTACCTAGAAGTGTGATAAATTTAAACGCAAGGTTTCCTCTCTCTGTGTGGAACGTGTGTTGACTCAAGGGGAAATACCACACCTGTAGTTGTCAGATGTTTCACTCTTTTATCTGTCAACTGCTTAGGGAAACCAGTTTCCCTAAACGTCAAAGTATGCAAAGCAGATAGTTTCACAGGGGACCCTGGTGGAAATGGCATTTGTGGAGTGGATGGACAATTTGATTGACAATACTGGGTATTGTGGTAACTTTTTTACCTCTGAGAAACAGGTTGAGATGGACAACCAACCCATTGCTTTTTTGTTATTCTTTTGTGTGTCGACATCTAGCAAATGTTCTCTGCCTCACTTTTCTGCCTGAAGCATTTGATGGAGTACAGAGGTTTTACCTTGCTAATATAAATTGCAGGTATTTCTCAGAAGCGAGAGTGCTAAGAAAAAGTAGGGATTTCGGTTTTGAACCGTCCCATATCTGAAATACTTAGGTTCAAGGGACTTTGTATGCAAGCCAAAACTTGATGTTTTGGGGTGCTTTTTGCTCTGTACGGAGAACAAAATGTGTCTGTTTTATTTCAGGGAAGAGGTTTAAGGAGCGGGGAGGCGGGGGAGAGAAAAAGCCAACATTCTCTTCGGAGACAGAGAAGTTACTGGGAAAAGGGTGGCAGACAGGCTGACATGATATATCACATTCTATCACGCTGGGATGTTGGTGACATTGGATTGAGGGAGGGAAGGGGTTGAGAAGGTGGGTGCTGATTATGCAGCCCTGGCAATTCCCGAGGGAAGGAAGGAGGCAGTAGACACTAGACACCACCTTTGCTCTATTTGCCCTTTCAGATTTTGCTTAGTCCAAAATGCAGAGAAAGGAAAGTGGTCCAGCTATTTGTTCTTCAAACTATGGCTGATCTGAAAACAGTCTGGTTCAAACCTCCACAATTTCTGAGTTGGAAACATAATGTGTGTCTCAACACATTTACTCTCCTAAATCACAACTTGATTGGACACAACTTGATTCATTCTAGTTTCTGTCATCAGTCGTACATTCTAGTTTCTGTCTTCAACCATAGCAAGAAAATAAGCTGTATGTCTAGTAAACGTTAGGCATTTTAAGAACTGAAAATATAAGTGAAATACATCTAAGGGTGATATCTTCTAGAAGTTGTGGCCTTAGAAATGGAGGGTATAAATAAGAAATCATAGAGATAACCATGGACAACCCAGTAGTTTCACCTGTAACTTCTTTTCCGCTTGCTGCTATTAAGAGATTTCACGACTTTTTTCTCATTCACTTTAGTGTCGTCTTAATGTACAAACCTCCCCTAAAAACTCAAACATCAAAATGAACACAAATGAACAATATAATAAACAATACGATGAAAATTCATTTATTTTTAATAAAAACAAAAAGTAAAACAAAATTTGAGCCTCTTCCACACCATGCTATTCATTTGAAACTAGTGTTTTAGGAAAAGTAGATTTATTGCACCAATGTACAGCAAAAAGATTATTCTCTCCTTTCCCTGGATTCTGTTCAATAATGCCTGTTCAATAATGCTACCCTGATCATTCACCGATTGCAGGAGATATGCTTGATTTGGCCAGCCTTTCCACAAGCATCAGAGGTAATAGCTCCAAAACCCGAAAGCCAGAACGGTTAGTTTAATGGCAGTTTACAAGGTCCAGTTCAGACCTTTTATCAGGTAGGTATTTAAAAATGTGCCCTTCCCCTTGTGTAAGATAATAAAAATCAAAGAATTATTTTAATAATGGAAACAGATGATTAACACAATGACTCTTCAAGAGTTGTCATTGTTTGCATAATAACTTGAAGAACTGATTATAGAATCTTTTGCAAAGTTGAGCCAGGAACGGCTGTAATTGTATCCTAAAAATATGAAGTACTTGGCATAAAATTTATGAAACCGAGCTTTTAGTCTTTTTATATTCTTTCAGTTTTGAAGATGAAAACAAGGAGAAGGCTATAATGCTATTAAGAAAACTTGTCTTTTAGCAGCATTTTTTGGGAGGGGGGAAAGACATAAAAAGATTTGAGACTGTGCAGGAATTAAGGCAGTCCAAGGCTTTCTAGTTCAGTTTCAAAAAAGTAGCTTTGAAGTATATATTAATACAGGGGTCCCCAAACTTGGCAACTTGTGGACTTCAACTCCCTTAATTCTGGGAGTTGAAGTCCACAGGTCTTAAGGTTGCCAAGTTTAGAGACCTCTGTATTAATATAACATCTTTTTGCAGCTTCTTAATGCAACTGTCCTTTTCTTAGAACCAAGCAGCAGGCAAGTGTATGATTTGGGAGAAAAAGGTCAACTTCTTTAAGCTACAGTCGTGTCCACCTGTACTCCAAGGTTCTCTTTTGGAATTGAACTCTAGGCTGGTGATGCTGAGGGCATTTTAGTTTATGTTATGTTGTAAAGTCCAAAAATGCACTTGAGTCACCAGAATGCCAAAGAGAGACTCAAGAAGAGGCTTGGAAAAATTACAGCTTTTATGTGTAGAAAGAAAGAGCTGGGTGGACTTATTCCAACAACATATAGACGACAACCACGCAAGGAAAAAGCCACACCCCATAAAGAGTGTAGCTAGGATCTTATACACTCATTTAGCCAATCAGAGGCAAAGGTTCATTACCCAATGTGGGCAATGTCTTGCCCATGGCCCCCTTATCCATGGTACATTCTTTGTCCATGCTTTTTGTTATTTTACAGAGCATTCCTTGTAACCTTGTGTGTTCGTGCTTATTTTATCTATTTGATGGGCATTCCTGGGCAGCTTTGCTCTGCCCCCATTTATCTATGGAGCAGGATGTTCCTGGGTACCTCCCTGCTTCTGTCTTTCTTATTTACTCTCCAAGGATATACCTAATTTTGAAACGAACAACAGAGCAAGAAACCAGATAGCAAAGGATACAATTCTTAACAAGCGAGGTTTACAGAATTAATTCCTAACTGTAGCAAATTGGCACAAGCAAACTCTTAACAGAAGCAAATAGCAAAGGCTAGATTGATTCGTGTCAGTATGTCCCTTCAATGCCTTCCATATAACCGGTTCTGATCCTCATCGGCCATGTTTGAGAGACATAGCATGTGAATGGGATAATCCTAGCTGAGCCTGGCAGCGCTTTCAGTGCATGCCTTTCCCAAATGTCACAGTCTCAAGGACTGCTGCCAGCACTTAGCCATGGTTGTCCAGTTCCACATTGTCTTTCTTTTCGTACAGACCCTTTCCATTCCCATTTTGGCATACAATGCCTGAATCCTTCCTGAGCTAATTAACTTCAGTTTCCTGTTTTGCCCCAAACTCAGAAACAAATCCTGAGTGTCGAAATCCTTATACCATTTCTTTAAGGTAGGCTTGCATTCTTACTGAAGGTGTAGTAGGAATTGATTGAATTGGTTAATTTAAAAAGTTATTCTTTAAATCAAGTCTCCTAACTGGATTTGAAGGGCAGGAACATAACAATAAAAAGTAGTCTGCTGCGAATTAGGAACGAGGAGTTACAAAGTGCAAAAGGAAGCCCCTCAAATGATGCTTACACAACTTGGATCTATAGATGGAAGCAGAGTAATTTCACACAGCTCCATTCTTCCATGGAAATGTTTAAGATAAATATCAACAGGAGAGAAAGGGAAACAAAGATGCAACATTTTTATATTGTGCTTATTCCTCAGAAGTTGAAAAAGGACATTGATTTATCGAAGCTTGGAAAATATGGGCAGACTTTCTTTTAATATATGAAAATACGGGCTCGTAGAGTCAATAGAAAGCTTTCTTGCCCCAGGTAATTGCATATGTTTCTCTACAGAACCTGCCTTACATATAAATTGGGATTCTACTCTCAGGCATGACTAAAAGCAGTATATTCAACTTATTATATGATCTGAATGGGATGCAGTGGCTCAGTGGCTAAGACTCTGAGCTTGTTGATCAGAAAGGTCGGCAGTTCAGCGGTTCGAATCCCTAGCACTGTGTAATGGAGTGAACTCCCATTACTTGTTGCAGCTTCCGCCAACCAGCATTGAAAGCATATAAAAATGCAAGTAGAAAAATAGGGACCACTTTGGTGGGAAAGTAACAGCGTTCCGTGTGCCTTCAGCATTTAGTCATGCTGGCCATATGACCATGGAGACGTCTTCGGACAGCACTGGCTTTGTAATGGAGCTGAGCACCTCCCCCTAGATCCGGAAACTACTAGCACGTATGTGTGAGGAGAACAAAATATCTAATAATGCACAATACATTAATACAACAATTTTCATATATTTGTAATTTCCAGTTCAACGTTAGTAGAGGTCTTAGGAGTGCAAATCCAATGTATGAGTTTCAGCATATGTTGTTATGTAATGGACTTCCTTTGAAAATTTACCTTGTATATCTACGGTGGTGTTTCTCAAGCTTATAGAAATTTTAAACTATATGGATTCCAATTCCCAGAATTCCCCAGCCAACATGTTCCTTTCTAGAGTTGAAGTCCATACAGTTTAAAATTGCCACACTTAAGAAACATCGATTCTGCTGTTAGAAGCTGAGTTACATTTCTAGATATAAAAATAGTTAGGAGTTTATAAATCTTTTATAACAACAGCTGCCAGCCATT